CTATTCGTCCGTGTTAGTCCTTTGTGTATCGAAAGGGAGCTGCTGGGTTAAAAATCACCAGCCAAACGTTCAAAGCTTGGGTGTATAGCGTTAGTCACTTTTATTAAGAGGTTCAATGATCAGAGGTTTTAAAGAGTTTTTTTTAATCTATCAGTTCTGTTGTCGTCTTCATTCATAGCAGTTGCTTTCATTGCTGGAGGTTTTAGAATATTGATTTTTGTGCCTAGTGTAAGTCTTTGGCTATTTGGTCCGTCTCTGTGAAACATTCTGCCTACTATTAGCATCAGTTTAAATTATTAACCCAGTCTTTCTTTTTAGAGTAGGACTTGTAATTAGGGGCTGAAATCACTCGTAGGAACTCCTAAGAGGTCATTCTGGCTAATGTTTCATAGCTGCAAATCTTTAAAGATAACATGGGTTATAAAAGGTTATTCAGGATATCGGGAGAAATACAGCAAAATTCATTTTTAAAAGTTACATCAGATATTTACTTTCCAAAGCTGTTTTGTTTCCACATAAATTTATTTCAGTATTTTGGCAATCCCGTTGCCATGTCATACAGTTTTCGGTAGGCTTTAAAACTTGTGCTGACATCTGCATATTAGGTTCATCTTTGGAATAAGGTGATTTCTAACAACGATACTGCGATGAGGCAGACTCCTGGACATGTATACAGGAAGACCTTTCATCCAAAACAAAATGGTAAAATGCATTTTTTCTGAGATAGAGACATAGTTACAAAGTTCTCTACTTCAAAGTTTGATTAATTCTGTATTCTTCTGTATAGGTCTGGTGCCTGCATGAGTGTGGGCTTTATACAAAAACTGTGTTGCCTTACTTGTATTGATGGCTTCATAGCAGCAGGGTGCTGCTGGACTAGTTTAAGAGCAGATAAAAAATGGATTTCTTTAAGTATGCTCAGCAGTTCATCAAAGTTCACCAAAACATGCTTGAATATGAAGGACCTTGTATGAGTTTGCTGGGGGAGGGAGACAAAGAGGAAGAAGAGAAATTGCAAGTTGTTTTTCTTATTGCAGGATGCAGTAGTCCATATAACTTAATTTTGTGTTTTTCAAGTATTTGGCTGCAAACTGGCGTTCCAGAGTCCCAGAGTCGCCATAGTTTCAACTGACCTTGCTAAAAAGTGTTTTAATTGGTCTTAATGTTTCCAGTGTACTTTTTAGGATGATGGCTCCAGCTTTGAGGAGCTTATAACCCAGGGGGTACTTTATAGCACATTTTACACAGATGTAGATTAGTTACGTGGGTATCAAACTGGTCAAAATTAACAGATGTCAAGAGAGGAAAAACAACAGGAGGCAACTCCCATACTGCTTCCCTTTACTCACCACAGGTGAGGAAAGTCTGTGAATTAAGATTTGCCTGAAGTCAAGAGTAGAGTGAGGTAAGTAAAGAGGCAGGAACAAATCTGAGGATCTTATCAAAGACTGGGAGAGCGGAAAAAAGTATTCACTCAAACAGATTGTAGATAGAGGCATATTTACAAAGTTGGCTTTGAAGCGTGCATGGGAATAATGTCTTGTTGATTCTTTTAGTAAAAAAAAAAAAAAAAAAAAAAAGATTTTTTCCCCCCCACATTCAACTCTGCTTGAATAATAAAACTGACAGCAGAACCTGTGCCTTTTTGGCTGTAAACTCATCAATAGCTACTGTCCGTGCATTGTTACCATCCTCTTTGGGATGGTGTGACTGCCTGTGGGTTGGCGTTTTGGGGGGGTGGTTCTGTTTTGTTTTGTTTTTTCTGGAAGGGGAGGAAGAAAGTGAGCTTCACGGGTGTGTGGAACTCAAAATAGCATCATCTCTCAGTATGCAATGCCTGTAAGTGGAGTCTCGGGATCAGTCGGTGGTGGCTTGCAGAGAGTTCTTGCTTCCAATGACAACGGTCATTCAAGGCAGGTGAAAGTATGCTGAAAATCAGTGAAGAGGCATTTCCCGTTCTTAGTCTGCTTCCATTTAGAAACTTCAGGTGTTGACTGTTAATTTCTCTGTACTACCTTGCTATGTAAGTAATTCCCGTGGTGACCACTCTTTCAGTGTGTGAAGTGGGCTCGGGAGCGGAAGCGGTAGCTTTCACCGTGGAGAGTTGCCCTGGCATTTCTGCTGTTGTGTCCTATCCTGCGTTACTCTCCTAAGTCCAGTATTGCATAACCATTAGCTTGTTTGAGTTTGGAATTGACTACTCTCATATGCAGAATTATTTAATTACTGAATTGTACATCCGATCAGTAAAACATGCACTCTTCAACTGTATATAGTATTACTTTTACCATCTAATGCCATCTTCGTAACAGTTATTTCAGGGATGCTTTTGAGGGTCAACAACTCTCCCGTATCTGCAGTAGCACTTGTGAAGCTCGTAGTTGTAGCTGGGTATCATGGGTGTTATCCCAGAAAACAGTAAGATATATCTGGCCTAGGGTTTCACTGTAACTTTGGTTCTTCGTATTTTTGTTCCGCTAGAGAGCGAGGTTGGAAGAGCAGCGCATACGATGAGGATTAGACACAGATTATCTGTCTCACGTGGTTCTCCCGTTAGCACAAGTAATGTGAATACCATTTGGAGAACAAACGGATTATAAAAAATGAAATGAAAGCATCCAGATCCTGAGCATTTGGAAAGCATGACACTGATGTATTTGTGTAACCTTTTCATGAAGAGCTATGCTGAAGTCAAAGAGGGGATTTTGATTTCCTTCATTAAAAGCTTATTAAACGAAGAAATAGGACAGTCGTCGCTGTGCTTCAATAGCTGGGGGTCGCAGAGGCGGGCCTGATCTCCTCAGGATATTAATGTCTGCCTTCAGCTGGGGGAAATGAGCCGTCACTTGAGTTCGCTGCAGCTTTATGTGCTCGTCACTAGGGATCCCCATATGTCCCGGGATCTGCGGCAGGCAGCCGTGGCAGCACGCGGCTGCAGGGCGCAGAGGGCTCTCATTGCTATTCAGGGCAGGTAGCTCAGCTCAGTCTGCCCAGAGCAAGTCTGTTTAATGTTGATCAGCTGTCCATCTGATAAACGGGATTGATACGGACATTTCCTCCAAGGGCTGCCCTGACAATGACAGCAGGAGCATCAGGATGTCTCGTTAGGCTTTTTCTCCGAGCTGGAAATTTTTGTTAACCCTTTGTTAGGTCCAAGCCAAGGAAGAGTACAATACCGTGCTGCAGCCGTACATTGTAGCAGTTTCTCCCTTGTCTCTGAAAAACAGCATCAACCTTCAGTTTTGTTGTCTAAGCGGAGAATGCCTGGCTGCTTTTGTTTTCGGATTGTTTTTCTGTGCATGTAGCAAAAATTGTGAATTAGGAAGTCAGCTTTTAAAACAACTTAATTGGGTGTGTGCGCACGCACATGTGTGACACAATATTGGGAACCCCTGTCTCTCCTCTTCCCCCCCCCC